CTGTCTTCTTTCCCCCCTCCCTCCCTTCCTTCCTTGTTTTTTCCTTCCTTCTTTTTTTTCCTTTGCTCCCTCTTCCTTCTTTACTTCTTTTAATAAGTGAATTATTTCAGATCTCAACACTTCCTGAAGCTACTACATCTGTTGACAGCATTTTTATTTACTAAAAATGAATTTTGAGTGCTTAATGGTCAACGTTGAATATTTGGCTCTGTTAAGCCTTATTCTCTTATCATTATGAGCAAAATTATAGCTTTTACAAATTAAGAAATAGAAAGACTAATATTTTTTTTATTATTTTGAAGACAGGTTTGACCTTACCCACTATCTAAGTTAATCTAATGTGGTCTGGATTAGGGCATAGCCAAGATAAGTCTCTATCAAAAGGAATCATTTTTTTAATTGCCTTAAAATTGTGTTATCTCCCCTGTACCCTGTTCCTGCTTGTCTTATTTCATCTCCTCTTAGCACTTAGTATTGGTTTGTACTCCAAATAAGAATGTGTTTTGTTTATCTTCTTTTCAATCTCTCCTTTGCCTTCATCTTAAAATATTAAAAGGATCAAGTATTATCATACATTTATTTTTACTACATTCATTTCCTTTGTATGTATTATTTCATCCTATCCTCATACCCCTGGGGTAAATCCCCTTAACCCCATTTTACAGTTGAAGACTTGGAGGTTCAGACTGTTTAAGTTCACACTGCAGTAAGTTTTGTCCATTTACAAAATTTGTGATTCCTTGTTCTGTACAACATTGCCTTCCAATTGCATAATTTTACTCAAATCCAACCAGAGTACACTCTTTAAAAAATTCTGTACCTGGACATCAGATGTCCCAGGCAAAGATGCACTGTAACCTACTGCTCTTTAAGCACCCCCAAACCCAATTTCCAGTGGTGGGCACCACCCACAAGTTCCCTGGATGACAATGTTTGTCTCATAAGAATTTACATTCTCTGCCCAGTGGGCTTCCGTTGAAGCATTCTGTCAAATTTTGAAGAAAAATCCACCAGGTTGAAAGCCTCATAGTTTCCCTGTTACTTACCATATTAAATATCTTATATCTTGCTTTCAAAAATATCTATAATTCGAATCCATGCATCCTCACTCTCCCATTCTATCTTAGAATAATAGGCTTTTTTTTTTTTCAGTGCCTATGTTGTAGAAATAGGACAGAACAGCAGTCAGAAAAACCTAGGCTCTTGTTCTGGTTGTGACTCTTGGCAGATCTGGGTCTTTGAGAACATCAGCTTATTTTCTTGGAAGATCTATCTTTATGACTCTGAATTAACAGTATTCTACTAAACATTCTCTAAGGTCTCTTTCTGCTTTGAAATTCCAGTGATCCTTTCACCTTATAATATATTCTCAATGTATCATTGTTCAGGATTTTGTAGCCATAAGACTAAAATAAGATGTTGCTAAAATGTTCTACTTAGTTCTATTAGTTCTAAATAGCTAATTCTAAATCCAGTCATTTATAATTAATGATGTTTTTTAGATTAAGTCATTTCTCCAAAACTTGGGCATTAATATCATACTGTATCAAGACTGGGAGGGAAGGTGGGGGATGGCATGAAAAGGAAGTGGTGAGGGCAAGGCACCAGGAGCTCACTCAAAGAAGTAAATAGTGGTCAGTGCAGTTCCGGGGAAATTTCTCTTTCTGACCCTGCAAACAGGACCGCATGCTAGAGTGATTCCCCGAACACCCCTTCTGAAAGTGCCCGAAAGTGTCTTCCACCTGACCTGGTTGTGGGCCCTGACTGACCAACTGGTTAGCAGCAGGTAGCCAGAGGACTGTTCTCACTCTTTCTCATCGTCTCTCCTTTTGAAATTTAATTTCAGCTTTTCAAGCAGTAAAATTTGAATTAAATTTGGTACAAATCCCAAAGTTCATCTATGTATAAACTTTCAACATTTGTAAAAATGTAAAATATCAGACTTCCAGAGCAACAGTCCATGGACATGCTTGTATTTCCTGGCACAGCAAGACTACTAGGAGATCAACTCTTTCAGGGACCTCTTTCCTACACTTTGGCTAATCAAGCAAAACTATACTCAGGGTACACCCAAGTCCAATATCTTATACTTTGGGGAAATCTGAGGACAAAGACCAATGAAGAAGATGAAGAAAAGGGAAGTCCATAGAACCTGGCACAATGACACCTAGTCAGCCAAATACCAGACGGCAATGGGAACCTATCAGTGTCCAAATGTCCTATAGGCTCCTGGAAGCTGCCTTTAACTGACATGTATTAGGGCTGGCAAAGGTCTGAGATGCAAAAAGACCACAGCAACACCTCCTTCACCCTGGACCAGCCTTACGGATTGGAGAGGACCCTGTGCCTACACAGTGTACCCTGAAGGGCTTGGGAAGGATCATTATTCCTCAATTCTTCCTACCAAACAACCTTCCCTACCATGTGTGAAGTTTCGACATGTCATCTGCTTCTTTTAGTCAAGCATTGCCTTCTCTCTAGTTTTCATTCAAATTATAAATACTCCTGGGAACTATATCACACTCCCTGATACTTTACTATAAATAAGTCTACTAAGTTGTCCAGCCAATGAGGACAGAGATTAAATAGGAGGGCGAGATGTTGTCTCAGTTAAGGGAAAACCTTCTCCTACATCACAGATTTGCCTGGGACACACCCCATCCCTGTGGCACGCACTTCACTCCCACAGCAACGGAAAATCTGAGATCACAGTGTGTTTTCTTGAACCATTAAAGCATCTTCCCAAGATGGCCTAGATTTTAAAACACTATGGCAAAGGAAAGATACCAAATGAGAAAAAGGGCACCTGTCCCTTCATAGGTATTCAGTACATAATGTTCCCTTTCCTAGGGCTACAGTGTCTCTGCTGGATTAATTCTTCCAGACAGAAGTACATGTCCTAGACATGTAGGTTTCATGTCTGAAATGACTGGAGATTCCAAACTAAGTTCCTAAGAAACTGATCTTTGAGAAGGAACTGTTGCCATTGATGTTAGCAGGGTCTCATACCTATTTAACACTGCCTTGGCTGATTCCAGCTGATAGTTGAATTAGAGGTGAGAATTAAAGAAAGGTTAAAAGATACAATTGATCATACAACAGCAGGGCAGGTTTGGGGAAGGACAACACCGACCCCCTGCACAGTAGAAAATCTACATAGAGCTTTTGACTCCCCCAAAACTTAACAACACCAGTTGTCCCACCATGTCCACAGGGGATTGGTGCCAGGAACCCCCACCCTCCCATCCCCTGCATACCAAAATGCTTGAATGCTCAAATATCCTATCGAAAAAAAATTAAATCAATGCGTAAATTGGCCCTCTGAATCTGAAGACCCTCAACCACAAATTGAAAATAGTACAGGTATTTATTGAAAAAAAATTGGCATATAAGTGAGCCCAGGCAGTTTAAACCCATGTTGTTCACAAGTACTTGTATTATAAAGAATGTGCTAGAATGAGTTCATTTCCCTATATATTATTTACCATTACAAATATTTCTGGGCCATTTCATTTACAAGTGCTCTAACTGCACAAAGCTGGTTACATAATACAATATGATAATAGCTCCTTGATTTTGCACGTTAGTTTGTAGTTTTAAAGGAAATAGACTTTTTTTCCTGTTTCCTTTTTATACATGTAGAATGAAGATATTATCTTCAGTGATCCCACCAAACAAAAAAAGTCCTCACCAACTGATCCATTCAAATTCCCACTACTCAATAAACTACAACTTCCACTCTTTTTCTACACTCTGTCTCTCAATTTTTCTGTCCCTGCAGCCTGTGGCTCTAGCTTTCAGTTTCCCTCTTCTTCTTTCACCACTTCTTTCAGATCTTTTTCTCTTTTTTTTCTTTTTTTTTTCTTTTAAGTTTTTGCTTTATTTTTCTGCTTCAGTGCTACTCCCCATATTTCTGCCTCTCACTGTTGCTTTTCTTTCTTTTTCTTTATCAATTCATTGGACACACATTATTACTTGACACAGTAATAAGTGGGGGGGGTGGGAAGTCCAGAAATGAAAGGCGCAGCCTTTCCTTAAGGGACTCACAGCTGAGAGTGACAAATGAGCAAACAGTCTTTGTCACACAGCAGAATACATGCCACAGAAGAGATTCTGAGGTGGTGGGGACGCTTCCTAGAAAAGCTGACACTTGAGCTGATTCCTAAAGGACCACATTCCGTGGCAGTTAAGCAGGCCAAAAAGGGGGCTGGGAGGAGGGAAGAACGCTCCCAGCAGAGAAAATAGTCTTTGTCAAGGTGGGAGGCAAGCGGAAGCAGGCAGTACGGCTGGAACAACTAGGGTACGAGGGGAGGGTGTCAGGAAACGGGCCTGGAGACGTGCTGGGGCGAGGTCCCTTGCCCTGTGTATCGGGGCGAAGAACTGGGATTTCATGTTTGAGAGGATGCAGAGCCATCATGCTAAGTAGTGCCGTGACACTGAGAAAGACCAGGCTACCAAGGCATGCCAGGGACCCCCAGGTGGGATTAGGGAGGTAGGAGAGCAGGGGGGACAGTGATGCAGGGTACAAAGGCGGCAACATGGGAGTGGGGTGACACGTGTCAGACACAGGACTTGGTGGGTGAGAAGAAACGCAGAAGGGAGATCTGAAAATGGTTCTCAGAATATCAGCAGCAGGGCGCACAGTAATGAGGTTGCCTAAGATGAGGAAGGAGCAGCAGGCTTGGGAGAAAAGAAAAACGTTTCCTTTTGGCCCACCCGTGACTCACACACGGTGCATCCAGGTAAGGGTGAATGGAACTCAGGAAGGACCAATTTAGGGGTCCCTAAGATAAGTAGTTGCAAGTGGGTGCAGATGAGGTGAACCCAGGACTCTTCTCCCTGGAACCAGTAGCCCTGGGTGACCTGGCCCCTACCCACCCCGACTGCTCCTAACACAACCACTATAGCAGCTGCTGTCATTTCTCACCAGCGGAGACAGCCAGAAGTGCTGGGCCCTGATGGTGCCCACGCTCACCTAGCAGGTGTTCAATGACAAGAGCATGATAGCCACCTGTAACTGCCACCGCAGCCACTCCCTGACCGTGGCCTCCATGCTTAGGGGCTGCATGTCCATGAAGAATGTGGACGAGCAGATGCTTAACGTCCACAACAAGAGCAGGAGCTATTTGGTTGCTCTCTGCGACATCCTGCCCCAGGGGCTAAAATTGCTTGCCCACTTTATCAGCAACACCACGGGCACGCAGGAGCTGTTCCAGTGCACCTGGAGGCCTTCCCGCACTGGGGCCCAGGCAAGGGCATGGGCAAGGTGGAGTTCACCGAGGCTGAGAGCTATATGAACAACCAGGTGTCTGAGAACCAGCAGCATCAGGATGCCACAGCTAAAGAGGTGAGTGAGGAGGAGGCTGTGGCCTAGAGCTGTCTGGGACCTGGGGAAGGATGGCTGCGTGTAGACTCTTTCTTCACTCGCTGCCTGCTCTCCGACAGCCACGTGTCACTGTGTGTGCTCTTGCACTTCTTTCTGTCTTCACATCACATGCTGTACAGACACCACCATGAACGCTTTTCCACAGTGAAAGAAAACAAGAAAGCAAAACACCATGCCGCACTCTCCCACCTGAAGCCTGGGGCTGGGTATTTCCTCTGCCTAGGCAAGTCCCCTTCGGCCTTCCATCTTCTCTTACCTTAGGCCTCCTCAGAGAGGCCTTCCCTGACCCCCCGCCCAGAAAGGGGTTTCTGTTCTTCTCAGTAATAGCACTGTACTTATTTTCATCCTAATACTTAGGACAATCTGTTGTTTAGCTGCTTAGTTAGTTCTTCATTTTCTGCCTCCCTCACTAAGCTGCCTGGTGGCAGGGATCTGGTCCGTCCTGTTCACCATCGTATCCCTGAGGCCCTCAGTCAGCATTTGCTGACTACATACCTGAATCATGCATTCAAACCGCCTCCACAAAAGAGGACTGCATTTGGAAGGCCCCGGCAGGAAACCACAGCAAACTTCAACTGAGGAGTTTTGATAAAAGGGCGGCTTATCAAGGTAAGGAAGAGTGTAGAGAACCACAAGGGATAGTGTGGTACTGCGGGCTGGGAGCTGTGGGTGCTCCATTACCACCCCAAGGCCCAAGGGACCTGGGGGGTGATTGCCAGAGCCTGGAGAGAGAGAGCAAGCTAGGAGAAAGGGCCCATGGCAGCACCTGGGATCTTGGCTTGAGGATGGCAACCAAGGAACTAAGTGCCAGACCTCATGCTTTGCCCTCATCTCCTACTGGTCCCCTTTGCCCAGATGCAACTAGAAGCCAGGGAGGGTGGCAACGAGAGAGCCAGCTCCTGTTAATGTGGTAGAGGGCAGGTAGGGTGGCGAATGGAGAATATATATTACATGGACCATAGGACCCAATAAAACTCACAAAAAACATGGAATTTTCAGTTGAGACTCTTACCAACCAAAAGGCCATGGCTGTATGTTCAGACCACATTGCAAAGTTTCCTGGTACCAAGGGTCTGATCTAATCAGTCAAGGGTCGTATGGGAATCACTTCCAAAGCATGTTCTTAGAAGTGTCTCTCAAAAAGATGTGTTTCATGAAAAAATGGGTTCCAGAGTCAAATCAGTTTAGAAAATCATGGGTTAAATTGATTTTTCACTTCAAGGTTTTTCAAGCCCTCTATTGTTCTAGTGGATGTGGTTCATTTCCAGAAGGAAGGGCTTCTTGAGAGCATCTCAGTGTGTTCTTTAGCCTGCACCTGAGTGCTGCCCTGGTGATCGGGCTCCTGCTGCTCCAGGGCTAGAATCCAGTCCTGCCGCTGCCTGGTTGTGAGACACTGCAAGTCACTAAACTCCCTTGGATCTCATTTTTCTCCTTTGCCTGAGTTAAGGAGTCGGTCTTAGATGTTCATATTTTTAGGATTCAATGTCTATCCTAGAGTCAGGATTGACCAGTAACCTTGAACTTATCTGGGTAAAAAGCCTGAATCATCAGAGAACCTCAGGGTGACAGCTCCCTCAGAGTGCTCAATGGTGTCATTTTCCCCTCCTGACCCAGACCTTAGTCCTGGGCATATCTGTCATCAGCTCTGGTCCCTGGCAGTGACACACTCTGACCTGACTGCCTGCAGCAAATTCCTCGGCCCTTTTTCTGCCCAGTCTGGTTCTACCTCTGTGTGACTCAGCCATCTCCATCTGTGACACTTGAGTATTCTCCAGGGTCATCCCCCTATGCCCAGGATCACATGTCCTCATGGTGCTAAGCACAGAGATCTTACCAGCATCTTCTCCAATTCTGTCATCTGCAGTTTTTCTGACTGCTGATTTTTTCCTACCATTTTCTTTATTTCTTATATTTTTCCTACCAATACTGGAGAGCAGTTTCATCTTTTCTCTTTCTTCCCAAAGCTGCCACTTCCCTCCTTCCCCTCCTCTCCTGCTCCCTATGGCCTCCCTGTATTCCTCTGGGCAGAAGTTACCATTCTCCTTCCACGCCGGTGTCTTGAAAACCAACCTGTCCATTAATGGAGGGAGACGCAGTAGCAATTTAGCTGTTCACTGGGGCCCCCAGAAAATTTATTCAAACTGGGATGCTTTTGGGTATGAAAAGGAGCACAGTTAGCCATTGTGCCAAAACAATAGATATAAACCAGGACTGTCTTAATCAGGGTTTTGTGGTCACCCATTGTATATAGACATATGACATATTATACCACTAAGATTTCATATGATTTTCTGAGATGCGTTTATGTCCTAATCCTGCAGATTTGTCCTATTCCTGACTGCATGATTTCTTGAGTCACATGTACTGCATATCTCTGACTGTTCCCTAAATCAGCCAAATTCCTCTTCTGAGTGACAAGCTCCCTAAATGACTGGTTAAACCTGCCACCATGTTCATGGTCTTGTTCACTGAAGTTGCAGTTCAGGTAACAACTGCAGCTACATCCTTGACTTTTTTCCCTCCTCTCCCCAGGTTTCTTTCCTGCCTCTCTTATTCATCTTGCCCCAACTTTCCAGCTTAATCTGATTGTCTGTATTTTAGTGTGCCCAGTGGCACCCACAGCAACACTTGCCAGGACTTTCCCAAAGTCAAGAGCAAGAAGTCTAGGTCATAAGTACCCAGACCTTTGCTGGCCTGCTTCTGCTGTGAGGTCTGTGCTCATCTTCTCCAGCAGCGAGATCCTCTCTGGCAAGTGCCCACATTGATTGCACTAGCCTCTGCGTATTGTTTTGCTGGTAAAACATAGAATCCCGACTCAAACTAGTTTAGCTAAAAAGGAGAATTCATTAACTCAAGGATCTAAGGAAACTTTTGACAATGGAAGGACAGGGATGCAGAGGAAAGAGTACCACCCAGATTTGGCCTATGTGAGGTCATCAGCTTGAGTCTCTTTCTTTGGTGACTAGTATTACCACTACCATGCACGAGAAAATGTGGTCTCTGAGCTCCCAAGTGTGCACCGGAGTAGTGTGTGTGTTTGCGTGTGTGTGTGCAGCCACAGGTATATTTCCATCAATTCCTAGGTGTGAACTTGGGGCATGACATCCAGGAGCCCCTGATGTCGCACTGGGCTGAGAGGGCCCAGGAGGCCCAGGCATACTATTCTCTGTCTGAAGTATTTTTGAATACAGGGGAGAGATCTCTTAACTGTTTTCTTTGCAGGAAACAGGTATCTTGGTGGTCTGTGTACAATGGTGGTTTCTGTTGCATCTCAGCTCAGATTCTTCTTCCAGTTTTTGCTGATGACTGGGTAAAGTAGAACTTATTTAACAACTGTGCTTGGTGAATGTCAGGCACACCTTAGTGCTTTTGACACAGAGATAAGTAATTTCATGGCATTGGGTCTCTAGTCCAAAAATCCAGAAACTGGCTTGGATCTAATCTCCATTTGTAAGCAAATCAGCCAGAGTCAGAGCAAGAAGGACAGGGTAGTTTCCAGAAGAATGGATTTGCTGGGCAGAGAGCTCCAAAGGTTCTTTAACACTGATCTCCCAGAACTGTCCACTTAAGTTCAGGAAACGGGAAGCCTATCCAGAAGCACCCACCTCTCATCCTCCTGACCCCTGAGGGACCCCTCACTGTCTCCTGCCAAGCATGCAACACTATCAGCACAACTCACTCTGGCTACTTTTCTTGTTGATGTTTGATTTTATTTGTTATTATCAGCTGCTGGTGAGGTTGTTATTTTGGGAAGGTCCTTTCAAGCTGTCATTATAATTGCCCCAGCCTACCACCAAACAAGCCAGAAGTCATCCCTGACATCTCCACCCAGTTTCTTCTAGCACAGCAAACAACTTCTCACTTCCGCCCCCTCGTTGTTTCTCTAGTTCCTCCCTCAGCCAGGCTGTGTCCCTGGCTTGCTGGGTGAGTCATATGGTGTCTACTTTCAGTGGAGTTTCACCACGTGGGCTGATTTATCCGTCTTAGCTGAATTCCCAGGTTTCCTTCACCTTTGACACCTTTCTTTCTGGCACCTTGAACTTTTTTTCAGATAACATCTGATGCTCCCTTTCGTCAAGCTGCTCATACCCTTTTTGGAACTTCTCTTGAGATTTTTCTGGATGCCCATGTGCACTTCACCCCCACCCACTTATACACACCACCCCATCACCACCACTTGATGTCTCAGAATCCCCTCTGTTCCTCTCCCTTTTTCACTTTATGATCTAAACCAAGCAAGGCCATCCTTGTCCTAGTGGGAACTATCTGCCCCTGGCTGTCCTTCCCTGCTCCTTGGCTTGTCCCCAGCTACTTTTCAGCATTCCTTCCCATTTCCTCAGCAACCACTGACCCATATTCTCTCTCCCCACCCCCATTTTTGCCTAAAACCTCTCTGGCAGGCTTTGCCCTCTGGGCAGGTGCCACCAGCCTGTGTTTCATTTCCTTCTTATTCTGTGCCCACCACTGCTGTGACCTGAATATGGGTAGTTTATATAAGTATAACTTCCCTCCACCCAAAGAGTACCCCAGCCTTTTGTTGTTTTTAATTCAAATTGCAGGTACAGGCATTATGCTTGAACACTATTCTCAACCTTAGACGGTTGAATTCAGATAGTTTCCTCTTTTTGGTTGCATTTTTAAAGTAATAAAGTGGTTCCTTGTTATTGTAAAAATAATACATGGTTGCAATAGAAATTTGGCAATTACAATATTAATATTTTGTTGTGCAGTATTTCCTTCCTGTTGTTTAACAGGGACATTATATATATATATATATATAAAATCTACTTCATCAGACGTACATTGAGTGTTTTCCTGTGTGAAGGATTGTACCAGGCCCTGAAGATACAATGCCTCCCACCCTCATTGAGCTTATGGTCTAAAGTCAGAAGTAATGGGGCAGTTATGTTACTGTGCAGAAAGCACAAAGTTCTATGCCCCCCAGTCTGGTCAGCAAAGGTCTCTCCTAGTAAAATGAGGCTCAAGAC